GTCAATAGTAGCTGTAAAACAGCCGTGTCTGTTTAATTTGAATATTCATCAGTTTACAAACTAACATTCTCATTTTCATATTCATCGTAACATATTTATTCCTCAATCCGTGACAAAATCATCTTGAAAAATAAACATACAGTGTCAAAAATCGAAATTCACAAGAGAAAGATTTACACAATGTAGTTAGGCTTTGGCAATTTATTTAACGATATAATCACTGCTCATCATTGTGCAAGATCTGTCGTTTACTAAATAATTAATGTAATCAAACACATCAAACAAGTAGTTCTATTTTAATCTATACGCTCTAGGCTAATACTATAGAGGATTAGACATCTCACTACTCGCTTCAATAAATGTTTGTTGGCGGTGTATTTTCACTTTCATGTTTCTAATATTTTGACGGAAATGAATGAATGATTGACTGCACACAGACACACGTATACATAGTAAAACTTAAAAAATTTATAAGAACCTTTTAAAGTGACAAGAGTGGATGCATCCTTTACTGCGATTCTAGCTGTCTGTCGCTTACTAAAAAGTCAAAAGAACATGAAAGAGAAGAATTTAGGGGGTCCTTCATCAAGGCCAAGGACCTCTTTGTATTATAATAGAAAATGAGTAATATGCTTTGTTTTCATTTTTTGAAAAGACGATCGATCAAAAATTATTAATCGAGCGTTATCTTTCAAAAATAAAGAGCATTCAACACACGCTTTTAACCACAATGTGTGTACGATAAGAGGATAGTATACTGAATTACTATCTGAAGACTGATATTTTAAGAAATCACATCTGAACAGCAGAATTTTTTATTTTGCTTAGTTTTGTTTTCAGGATTTACAGTTAAAAGAGCAATCAATCAAGTTTCATACATCTCGAAACGAAATCTTTCTATTTGATATCTCTTTTGTCACGTCCACTCTCTTCGACTTGAATAGGATTCTAATGGAATGGAATGGGAGAAACAAATCGACAGTTCTCGTTTCATGGCATGCAGTTACGGATACATCGCGCGAAAGTCTATAGGCCAACACTTTTTTTGACTTTTTTCTTTTTAACTTTTTTTGAAATAACTATCTTTTTATTTCTGTAATTAGTATTGTATAGAATATAGTTTTTCTTTTTATTTAAATGATTTTGTTTAGATTCATCAGTCTGAATTTCAATTTTTTTGCAACTGATATTTTAAAATGATCTGTTACTCAACAGTAGAAAAAAAAATATTTAGTAGACGAAGAGAGACGGTTAGTATTGATAGTTTATTCAATGTCGCAAAATTTATTGGATGCTAAATTTGAAAAAAATTTTCTTTACTCAGTTTTTATCCTGTTACTGTAGCATATGATTCCTCGGTCCACTAGTGTTACTTTTTGTGCTTTGTTTAAGAAATAATTTCCACGTATGTAGTTAGCCATTAGTAGAACATATGAGATGATTGAAAATATTAATGTTCCAAGAAAATAAATAGGGATTTTAAAGTAAAACAAATCTCATAGAACTGTTACTATGTACTACAGGATTTCTTCAAAACAAACTTTCAGTTTTAGCCTGTTATGTTTGATGTATATATTATCTGTCAGTTCGATGTTACATTTACAGTTCATTTTTTTTATATGTATGTCTATATAAAATGGACAATTAGAAAAAGTAATTTATTAAATGTCAAAAAGTTATGCACTTTCTTAAATAACGATTCATAATGGAACACTCATTAGGTGACGATACATATACATATAAACAAGATTATTTCCTAATTTAAAGAAAACACACTCATTATGCTGTCAACCTTATATTTTATTCATTATATTCGAAAAAAGGCTTAATTTTTAACTTCACAATAAAAATTGGATTACGAAACGATGACGAGCTTAAACAGAATAGCAGACCTAATTAAGACAAACACGATAATTATAGCACGTGATAGAGCGATGAGAAAGAACGAAGAAGATGTCTAGCTAACTGTTTCTAATTAATTGTTTTTTATACCATTTTAATGTCAAAAATATGAATATTTCACATCATGTTTTTCTAGTCTGAAAAAAAATTAATTATCAGTCAATAACTTTTAAAAATTTTAATTTCATCAATTAAATATTCAGAATGGTTGGATTTAGCGAGAAGTTGTCAAATAGAAGGGTGGAAAAATACATATAGCCTTAGTACATACCATACTGACTTTACAATGTGAATAGAATAAAGATACTATTCTAGATTTTATCAATTTTGCTTTTTCTACGATTGTGCTTATCACATGGCACAATGTTATTGTTTCAACTGTCATCATATTATCATGACGTAATTCTGTGTATAGAGACGAAAATATGAAGTTTTAACGATATGTCAAAATTGTTTGATGTTTGTACGTACGTATACACACACAACTATGCATATTCACACGAGAAATAGAAAAGTAATTTTTGTCGGCAAGTGTTAGTTAGGTGATAAGTATGAAAAAACATGTTTTTCTTTTGTCATTTTTAAATGTGCCGATATTAATACTTTATAAATAGAACTAAGCAGGTAGGACAATAATTAATAATCCGTTATATGCGAACTAAATAGACTTTAAGTTCAAGTTTAATATACAATATAGTCAGTCTCTCTGTTTACTTTAAAATATTCAAGGGTGCACAATTGTTTTTAGCCGTATCGCTCTATTTTTCTATATGTGTTCTCTATCGTGCTAATTTCCAAAGCTGATTCTCTCTTCACAGAACAATCACAAGTATAATTTCGATTCCGAATTGAATTTTGGCACTAATGTTCACAGCTTTTCTATATCTAACATATAATTAAATCGTACGCTTAATTTCTTAAAAGTATAAAACAAAAATCACCGCATCTTTAACACAATTACAGATATCTGTGTAACACAATTAATCGAAAAAAACAAGCCGTGCTGTGCATATTAGATAACTCAACGTGTTTGCTTCTATTGAACCGCTTTTTTGCCTGTTTGTCGATCATATTTTCTTTTCTAACGAAAATATATAACACTTAAACTCCTGCTATCGTGGAAAATGAACGATCGTTATAAAAGACCTTAAAGTTATTATTATTTTTCAACTAATCGTGTAATATCACACAAAAACATCTTTACGGCTATCTAAAGATCAAAGAACAATCTGATATTATCTGTCACTTTTTTTTCCATGTAAACTGAAATCGTATCAAACAACAAGACAAGCTAGTTCAAATAGAAAAAGAGAAAAATAAAACAGATCCATTTTAAAAAACTCAAAATATGTAGTTCTTCTGTCGCGTTACTGCTCAAGGAAGTCTTTCTACTTGTTTGTCTCATCAATGTGGAACATGATAAACTATGTTTCACTGAAACCGATTGATTTTAGTCTCAAAAGGGACGAACAAGTATGTATAAATTGAAGATAATTGAATTGTAGTGCATTAATTCTTTTTTATATGGACATCATAGTTCTTGTAATCAAATTTTAACCTCACTTTCCAATAAGTAAGAGTTGGATAAGATTCGTTTTTTGGAGATGAATCGCTCAAAATAGCCCCAAATAAAATGTTCTAACATTTTCTTATTGAAAATAAATCATATGTTTTTTATTTATCTCAAAGCAAAATATGCATCATAAATAATAGTTCCATATTTTAAAAAAAGTAACAAAATTAAAATTCTCTGTACCCAAAAAGGAAATACATAAAGAACCACTACGATAATAGAAAAAGTTCGAAAACTCTACACGAGCATACAATAAATGTTTTTTGCTTAATTTCATCTGGTATCCTGTTAAAAAACAAAATAGGTGTAAGATAGTTTAAAAAAGCTAGACAAATAGAAACTTATTGAATTTATTAGTATACAAGTTTAAATCTTCAGAGGAATGGCAAAAGAAATTAAGAGTGAAGAAAATCACCGGGGCGTATATACAAGAAAGGAAAAAAGTCAAATAGATTATTTATACTTCTTTTCTTCTGTTACAAATGGATGTTTCTCTAATTCAACAGATGATGGTCGTTTATTTGGATCATGCATAAAACATTTTTTAAGAAAATCGACACAATTTTCAGATAAATGTTCTGGAATTTGTGGTTTTTCACCACAGGCTATTCGATATTTAACAGTTAAATAATAAACGCTACTAGCAACTGTGTAATTTGACCATGGAATTCTTCCTGTTAACATATGAATGAGACTACAACCGAGACTCCAGATGTCCGACTTTGTAGTAGTTTCATTTTGTGTGATAGTTTCTGGAGATGTGAAAGCGATTGATTCTCTTATCGATTCTACTTCTGCAACATCATCAGATATTTTTTGTTGATTTTGTTTCATAAATTTAAAATCGTAGACAAAATTCAAATCGCCTAAAAGAGAATAATAAAAGTTAAAGATTTCAGAATCCTGGATAAAGAAAAACATGAACGAAATCACATAGCTGTGGCTTATTATGTTACACTGCTCTTTTCTGTAGCGTTTTCAATAATATATCATTGAAATTACCTAGTTTTATTTGTAATTTTGTTGTATCTTTTAAGAATATGTTCACACACCGAATATCACGGTGAATAATACCGTGATCGTGTAAACATGATAGAGCCGAGAGTAATTGTTTAACATAAATTTTAACTAATCCTTCATCTAAAAATGCATATCCGTCTTGTGATGAAATAATTCCGACATCGATCAATTTTGAATTTATATCATCTTCGGCAATGGAGCATGTTAAATGTTGAACATTTGGATTTTGTTGAAACGGTCCACGACGATTACTAGGTATTGTGCTGGAAATTAAATCCGTTTCACTTATGGTAGTTGCTGTTGAAGATCGTGTACGACCATCTGTAGTGAGATCATTCGTTACAGCTGCACTTGGTT